CCTTTTTCCATGGCACAAACACAGACACTAAGAGCAGCTCAGAATTCATATGCCATTCTAGATTTTTAGACTTTATGACACAAACACAGCAGCAGCACGTGCCATCCTGATCCGTCTGGAACACGATATTCAACAAGGACTAGGTGAGAGCACCAAGCACTGCTGCTGCTGCCACACCTTTCTCAGAAATTCTGTCACAGGATTCCTTACGGAGACAGTAAGGTGATCCTCAGAGACTCACTATTAGTTAACATCTACCATAGCATCAAAGTTAAAAAAACAAAATGTCTGAGAGCCAACAAGGGTATAATATACCCCAAATTAAATCAAGAAAGCAAGACTTGTCAAGAATCTAAACCAAGCACTACCACCCAACAAACCGAGGGAAGTTTGCGACGCCGGGATGAAAAGCAGCTGACGTGGAGCCCGGAAATAATGAAAACCCGAGAACTGAGGGTTCTGCACCTGCCTCTCCTACAGAGATGGGAGCCAAGCCTCCCTCCCCACGTCTGCGAACAGCAGCCCATCTCCTTCAGCACTGCCATGCTTCCCCACCACCTCCTCGACACTGCAGCTGTCTGCAGGCCCAGGACAGCTGCTAAGCACGCACAGCCAAAGGCCCTGTGCCTGAGAGGATGGAGTCCTGCGCCCAGACTTGCTGCACCTGCCCAGGCAATGCCAGCACAGGCAGGTTTCCGAGGCATCAGCCAATTTCCTTTTCCAATATCTCTTCCAGGTTTTCTTTAAAAAGAGAGAGAAAAGAAAAAAAACAAAACTATTTCAATATTTTACCAACAGGCAACATTAAAGGGTCTTAAAGACCCCTTAAAAACAGAATTCACACCACCTGGTCAGACCAGAGTTGAGACAAGAGAAGGCAGTGAGTAAAAAGGTAATCATTGAGGAACGAGGGATGATGAGGCAGCAGGAAGTTAGAGGGTAAACGTGTCCCTAAGTGATCAAGAGCCCTGCATCACCGCATTCAGTCCACGCAGACAGGATGCGGCCGACTCCAGGACACACAGCGCAGAAGGCAGCGCGACTTCTAGCCATACGACAACCCAAGGGAACTGCCCGTTTCAAAACATCAACTTTCTGCCATCACTGGAACCTTCCCTAGTTTCTGCTGGGTGACTCCTTGGCTACCTAGAGCCACAGCCACCAAGTGCTTCTGTCTAAGAGTGGTCCAAAGCCATGTCCCTCCAGCGGCTGCAGGGAGGCTGGGGCTCCCTAGGAAAGCTGAGCTCATCAGGAGAACGGGAGACATCCAAGGTCAACACAGAAACAAACAGGCTGAGTAGCCATTCCAGGGGACACGGGGATCAAATCACCAATGTGCGCAGACACCCCAAGACTGCTCTGCAGTGAAGTCCACTTTCCAAATACACTTACAAGATATTACATAAATATAATCAATGGTTTAAAAAGAAACAGTCACTGTTAAATTCAAGTAAAATGTACTTAAAAGGTGACAGCAAGGAGGCCATTTGTGACATAAATACTTGAAAGAAGGGGGCCAGCGTGGTAGCTTAGTAGCTAAATCCTCGCCTTACATCCACCAGGATCCCATATGGGTGCCAGTTCATGTCCTAGACGTTCCACTTCCCTTCCAGCTCCCTGCTTGTGGCCTGAGAAAGCAGTAGAGGATGGCTCAGAGCCTTAGGACCCTGCACCTGCGTGGAGACCTGCGTGAGAGATCTGGAAGAAGCTCTTGGCTCCTGGCACGGATCAGCTCAGCTCCAGCCATTCTGATCACTTGGGGAATGAACCAGTGGATGGAAAATATTTCTCTGTCTCTCCTTCTCTGTAAAAATCTAATATAATATTATATATATATATTTAAAGTAGGGTTAAAATAGACAGGAACTTAACGTCACACATAATACCCAACTTACTCTTGGTCATGCTTTTAGTTTTTTTAGTGCGCAAGTCCAAGAAATCATACATTGTTCCCAATTAATTTTTTTTAAGATTTATTTTTATTATTTTTTTTTATTGGAAAGACCAGATATACAGAGAGGAGAGACAGAGAGGAAGATCTTCCATCCGATGATTCACTCCCCAAGTGAGCACAATGGCCGGTGCCGATCCGAAGCCAGGAGCCTCTTCTGGGTCTCCCACATGGGCGCAGGGTCCCAAAGCTTTGGGCCGTCCTCGACTGCTTTCCCGGGCCACAGGCAGGGAGCTGGAAGGGAAGCGGGGCTGCCGGGATAGAACCAGCGCCCATATGGGATCCCGGGCGTTCAAGGCGAGGACCTTAACCACTGCGCCACCGTGCCAGGCCCCCCAATTAGTTTTAATAGCTCTGTTAGAAATATAAGAATCTTTCTTCTCAAACTGACCCAGAAACTTGAAAATGAGATGGTCTAAAAAATATTCATGACAGGACCCAGCGCGGTGGCCTAGAGGCTAAAGTCCTCGCCCTGAACACGCCAGGATCCCATATGGGCGCTGGTTCTAATCCTGAGAGTCCCACTTCCCATCAAGCTCCCTGCTTGTAGCCTGGGAAAGCAGTCGAGGAGGCCCAAAGCCATGGGACCCTGCACTCTAGGAGACTCAAAATAAGCTCCTGGCTCTGGATCGGCCAGCTCTGGCCATTGTGGTCACTTGCGGAGTGAGTCATTGGATGGAAGATCCCTCTAGCTCTCCTCCTCCTCTGTATATCTGACTTTGCAATAAAAATAAATCTTTAAAATAAAAACAGAATGTTCACGACAAAGTTTAATTATGAACAATGACAACAGCTATCCCTCTTCAAAAAAAATAGTTTTATTCAAAAACCACAGGAAGTCCCCACCAGTGAGGAGGTGCAGTGAGACTGCAGCCAAGCAGGGTCACACCTCCACCAGCAGGTGGAGGGCACATGGGGCCCAGGTGCAGGCCAGCTGGCACCAGTGACAGCAGTGACGCCCCAGCCGAGCAGGGTCACACCTCCACCAGCAGGTGGAGGGCACACCAGGTGCAGGCCGGCTGGCACGTGCCACCCCAGCAGGCTCCCAGTACAGCTGAGGCAGCCAACATGTCCAGGCCTGCGCCCTGCACAAGACGTGTGCACCACCACAGCCTTCCTGATCAATGACACAGACTGGAGTGAAAGCAGAACCAGCTGACCCGGAAGCACATGGCCAACATCCAACATCTTCGCGGGAGGCAGGCGGGCGGACAACCTGCACACTTCAAATGGTCAGAAACTGAAGGGAAACAGACCAGATCAGCAGCTGGAGGGCCAGTGCCCCCGCTGTCGCCACTGCCCATCTACAGAAAGTCAACTTGCTGGAGATGGGTTCGGCGTGCTCAAGAGGCGGTGGTGACAACCAGGCCATTAAAAAACAGAATAACAGCTTTGCCTGGTCATCTGTTCTACAGATTTGCAATTAATGTAAAATGAACTGCAATGTTGCTAAGAAAAACATTTCTAAGATCTTCTTGTTCTGTACACTGCTGTTCACTTCCAGTTGGATGCAGCCCATTATCCTGACCTATTTTTACGATAACAAAGACAGACAGAAACGTGGCCAGGAAAACCCAAGCTCCTCTCAGCCACCGGAGTGGCAGTCGGCCCGACACTGCATTTCCGTTCCTTTTTATGGCATATATGATTCCTTTCCACATTTACCTGAAGACATCCAAGCCCTCCTCCCGCCCCTCCGTTTTTTTCGCGCTCTCAGAGCCGAGCTAGACAGAATGCTGTCTTCTGATCTGTTAAGGAGAGACCAAAATCAAACCCGTTCCTCACTATGGCTAAAGGTGCGTGCCAAGCAGCCAGACCTTGGTCCCTTCCTGAAGCTCCGGCCACACCACTTCACCTTTGTGCCTCAGTTTCCTCGCCTGCTCAAGGGAGATAAGAACAGGACCTCTCTCATAAAGATAAGGATTAAATGAGCTACCAGCAGTCAAGGAACTGGCACACCTGAAGCCGGTTAAAGCCTTGGCCGCAGCTCAATCTACTAACAAGTTATGAAATGAGCTCTTGGACAACACTTTCCAAAAAAGTTAGATGCATTCAAAAGCAATTCTTATCATACCCCCTAAGCCATTATTTAGGCCGTAAGATAAATAAATAAACCACCTTTGCAGGGGGAGAAGCTGGAGGGGGGAGCTCAGGCACCCAGCAGAGTGCAGCCACCGTCCTCTGCTCACAGCGTATCAATCACGTGTGCCACAAACTTGTTGGGAAGAAGGGGGCGATGACCACCAAGAATGTGCTTTCCACCAAATAAATGCGGGGGAGGAAAAATGCCCCTCGACTTGCTCCTGGAACTTTGGCGTGAGACCCTAAGGGGCAGGAGGACCTGTCGGACCTACTTTCGTACTTTCGTTATGGCAGGTTGAAAGTTCCCCAGTCCCGGGATGCAGACAGGGAGCAGCAGGGCACTGGGACACACAAACACTGGCTTGGACGAGGCGGGAGTCGTTCGCCTGGACGGAGTTCACCGTCGCAGTTTAAAGAAAACCTGCAAGCAAGTCGCAGTGTCTAGGAAACAGGCTGCAACCCCAGCTTTGGGTACCCAAGTTCCCATCTCTGCAGCCAAGGCCGACGAGACAAACCCCCGCTAGAAGTCAGCGCACCGACAAGTCCGCGCTCCCGGCTCCCGGCTCCAAGGCCCGGCTGAGGCCCCAGGCCAGGGTCGCCCACCTGTCCGCCCGCGCCGGGGATTCAGCGGGCACCACGCGGGGCGGGCAGGGGGCACAGGGCCAGCTGCTGCGCGGACGCGGCCCGAGCGCCCCCCGCGCTCGCAGAGGAGGGCGCAGGAGGGAAGGGACCACCTGGCCCTTGGAGGGCGGCCAGCGCCCAGCTCCCGCCGCGTCCAGGGCGAGCCCGGCAGCTGCAGGCGGGGCCGGCGGGCTGCGCGCCCGCTCCCGCGCCCGGCTGCACCGCGCCCCTCTCGCCTCAGCCCGCGCAGCCTGCCCACCTGGCGGCCAGCGCAGGGCCCCGGCCGAGTCCGCGCCGCGACCCGAGCCGCTCGCCCGGAGCGGCCGCCTGCAGCCGCCACACTCACCTCGCCGCCGGGCACAGCTCGGGCTCGGGTTCCGCCGCCGGTGCCGGTGCTGCTGGCGGCGGCGGCTCCTCCATGGCGGCGGCAGGGGTGACGGCCAAGGCGGGAGCGGGCACCAGCTCTGCGGCGGCTTCTCTCATCCGTGCACGGAGCCCCGCATGGCCGCGGCGGGCAGCGAGCTGCAGCCTGGCGCGGGCCAACCGAGCCCCGAAATGCGGGAGTGACTCGGCTCCGCCTCCGCCTCTAGCCCCCCTCAGGAGCCGAGCGCGGCGCGGCCATCTTGGGGACGGCGGCCGGCCGAGCGCCGGGGCTACGGCGGGCGGCGAGGGACAAGCCTCCCGGGCGGCGCGGCCGCTGGAATCCGACGGGGCGGGGACGGCGGCCGGGGAGGCGGGGACGGAAGGCGGAGAGCGCGGATCCCGGAGCGCCGGGCAGGTGCCGGCGGGAGCCCGTCTGCGGTGTGGGGCTCGCGGCGAGGGCTGGGCGTGCCCCGGGCTCCCCCGGCCGTCCGTGTGGGCCGGGCGGCGGCCGACCCGCTGGCGCCCCGGGGACGCGGGAGGGCGCGGCGGCTCCGGCGGGGCGCGGGGAGGACCCTGCGAGCGCTTTGTCCGCGGGAGGCTGCAGGGGCGCCGCCCGATGGGGCGTGCCGTCCTCCCGGCGTCTCCCTCAGGGCCGACCGGTTCCGAGCGCGGATGCAACCGGAGGAGACCGGGGAGAAAGTGTCAGACCTCAGAAGGCCCCCCGTTGCGCGCAGCCCTGCACGCGCTCGTGTAAGATCGACCTTGGATCTTGCAGAAACCTGGGCTGCAGTCTCCTGCCCTGCGGGGACAAGAGACAAGAAAAACACGACCAAGGTGGCATTGTTCTAGAAATTCTGTCTGAATTCCGCTGCGTCCTTTTCCTTTTAGCCTGTGGAACTTTGCAGGTCTGAGTTACAGATATTCACGAATTTCCTGTGGTCTGAAATTCAGAGTTGATTGCAGAAAAGCAGTACTTAAAACTAAGCACGTTCTTTCTGTAACATCGGCTTTCAAGTAAAACAAATCATTTTTTTAAAAGTACGTGGCTCATTCAAACGTGCAGTTGTTGAAAACTGTTTAGTTGAGCTTTGGTATGTGTAATTTTGAACCAACGGGGAGGAGAAAGGTAGGTAAGCTTGGTTTCTAAGGCCGGCTGTGAAGTCAGCTCTGTAGCATTCCAAGGAGCTACAAGAATGTCCTGGAAAGAACCTCAGCCCAACTGCCCCACTGTGGTAGTCTGCACCTTGCGTGTGACGTGGGAGGGCGGGATTTCTGAGTTGACAGCACCTGGCTGAGCCACCAACGTTCCTTCGACAAACACGACAAACACGTACCAAGTGCAGAAGTGACTGTCGGGGCTGCCCCACGGACTGAAGGCACAGAATTGGGAGCAAAACCCACCACATCTGCTCCAGAGAACAGCCTAGAAAGGGAGAGAGAGAAGACAAACAAGCATCCCGGGAGCAATAAGCTGCTTTTTTTTTTTTAACCTTCACCAGAACCAAGTGTTTCCAAGGTTAATTCATTCCCCCACCTGAGGGTATTGTCTACCCTGGCAAGAATCAAGCTGATTAAAGGTTACTTAGCCCCAAGGTAACTCCGGTGGAATCCTCCCTTCCCTGGCACCAAGACCTCTGTAAGTGCAGCCCTTCTGGCTGGCCCCCAGCACTGCGTCGCCAGGGCTCCCACCAGGCCCCCATCACCCGGGTTCCTGCTTGGCTTCCCATAGTGTTTGCTCCCTGGAGCTATTCCACAGACGTGCATCACAGGGTGTGTCCCAGGGCACCAGCAGTTCACCTTCAACATGAAGGAGCTGCTCTGACCATTACATCTTTGCCTCTAAATCTGGATGAGCGCTCAGGTGGTAGTGCTGGCTTTTCTCATATTCCTAAAAAACACGATGACGAAATCTCTCCCTCTCTCCTCAAGACCAACTCCACACAGCCTTTGCTGGGACTGTTTCTTTCAGAAAGAGTGACATGCTGCAAGGTTGCACGTGGAACTGCCGCCTGCGGTGCCAACATCTCCTGTGGACACTTATTTGTGTCCTGATTGCTCTGCTTCCAATCTAGCTGTCTGCTATCGGCCTGGGAAAAGTGACAGAGGATGGCCCAAGTTCTTGGCCACCTGCACCCTCGTGGGAGTTCAAGAAGAAGCTCCTGGCTCTTGGCTTCGGGATGGCCAAGTCCTGGCCATTGGCACCATCTGGGGAGTGACCCAGCAGGTGGAAGATTTCTCCCTCTCTCTGTGTCTCTCCTTCTCTCTGTTCCCAACTTTCAAACAAATCAATCTTTTTTTTTTTTAATTAGTTGCAAACATGAAAGTCCCACTGTGCTTTGGGTTGAGGCATGGCACCTCTCTGGCTTTGTGGACTATTACTCAGTTTTAACTCCCACAAAAACAGTTACACGTTCATGTGTGAATTCTTTTGTTTTAAGGGTAAGTACGATTTATTTATGTGTTTTGAAAATTAGAGTTGCAGAGAGAGGAAGAGAGATTGGGCATCCCCTAGGCCACTCCCTAGTTCTGCTTTTCAAAAATAAAAAATTGAAAAGTGAGGATTTATGCTACCACGATCGTGAAATTTCAGGCTCTAAACTGTGTGTGTGCGTGTGTGCGTGCGTGTGTGTGTTTGTGTGTGCGTGCGTGTGCGTGCGTGTGTGTGTTTGTGTGTGCGTGTGTGCATGTGTGTGCGTGTGTTTGTGTGTGTGTTTGTGTGTGCGCGCACGCACGCGTGAGTGTGTGCGTGTGTGTTTGTGTGTGCATGTGTGTGCGTGTGCGTGCGTGTGTGTGCGCGCGTGTGTGCGTGCGTGTTTGTGTGTGTGCATTTGTGTGTGCGTGTGCGTTTGTGTTTGTGTGTGTGTGCGTGTGTGTTTGTGTGTGTGTGTGTAGCACTTCAAAAGGCCTTCATGGGTTTTGCTACAGAATGATTCAGGAAGGATTGTGGGACCAATTCTGGATCATTTGTTACTTAAAAGCAGTCTTCGGGCTGTAGGTTCATAACTGTGATGAGCATGGCCCTGCTTTTCCCTTCAGAATCTCCTCTCTCTGATCTCATCATCCAGGTTCCTGTGAGAACCGGCTCTACATTGGCTTGACCAGCCCTGGCCCTCTCAGCTGCTGGTGGCTTCTCGGCTCTGCCCTGCTCCACGCGGGCAGGAAGAGCACAAAGAGGGCACCGCTCTCACCTGGGGGGGTTAGTTCATTCTCACTCCAGCACACCCAGAGAAAGACCAATACCCAGCTCCCTCGCAGTGCAAAGAACCTAAACCGGGTGTATACGCATGCATGCACACACACACACACACACACACACACACACACACACACACACACACCTATCTATGAGTGAAACACTGCATCTGTACAAAAGGTCGGGGAGGGGGGCACTGTGTTAACAAGTCCTTAAAACATTCAGTCTCGCTCTCCACGGAGCAGTAGGGAATCTCATCCAACACCCAGGGTTTTTCTAAGGGCCCTTGTCACCCCTGTTTCAGAAGTTGCCCTGTGTGGGCCAAGTCTGAATAGACTGCAGGGGGTCCAAGTCCTTGAACAAAGGGTTATGCTTTGTATACCAGTGAAACTAAAAAGGGGAAAGGAAGTGGCCCCGCCTAAGAAACCAGCAAATGTGGAGGGTGGGGAGCTGTGCCTTCAGAAACACCACAGGCAGCAAGTATCAGGACAGTGCCTCCTCCCACTCCACAGCTTGCCTCCCCGATCCTGCACGTGTGAGAAACGGATAGCTTCAGAACCTTCACATCAGCCCAGGATTCCATCCTCTCCCACCAAAATGCCCAGAAGCCTAGCCTGAGTCGCATCCTTTCATTTCTCCTTCAGATGTCCAGGTGTGAGGTTTAGAGAACCGTGAAACCGCATGTGGCCCTTCCTCCGTTTCAGATCCCTTGAAGTGGGCAAGTGCACATTGGCTGCCTGACAAGGAAGCAGCAAAGAACTCTGCACCTGTTGGTCCTTCCAGAGGCTGTGCAAGTGTTTCCCACCCCTGCTGGGACTTCAGGGCCCCCGCCAGCAGCCTGTCCACCCTAAGCTGCCAGCACACTGTCCTCATCCCAGCTTGGGAAAACCCTTAGCTAAATGCTGTGTGCACCTGTCTGCTGTCTACACTGTTGACAACATGTGCATGTATTTCTTGCTGAGATTACATCTGTAGCACCTAGAAGGACAGTTTGTATCATATCCACGTTCAGAGAGAATGACCCGAGTGATGCATGAGTTCAGGGCTGAGGGATTAGTTGGAAATTGCATTGTGCGAAGGAAGGATGGTGAGTCTTCCAGATGGATAGAAGTCACTCTGTGGGAAAAATCAACCCAAGAGCAAAGTGACCGTGGTATAAATAGACTGTAGCAATAGGCATTTTAAAGAGTCAAAAACTGTCTAAGCAGATAAGAAAGAAGAAAGAAGAAAATGCTGTGAAAGCAAATCGAGATTCTGCATAAGGGTTGAAAGTCATTTTTTAAAACGTTCATTTATTTGAAATGTAGAGTTACAGAGATGAGGAGAAAGAACGAGAGGAAGAGAGATCTTTCATTCACTAGTTCTGTCCCCAAATGGCTGCAACAGCCAGGGCTGAGCTAAGCCAAAACCAGGAGCCGGGAGCTTCTCCCAGGTCAGTCGGGCCATCTGCTGCTGTTTTCCCAGACACATGAACAGCTAGCTGGACTGAAAGAAAAGCAACAGGGACTTGAACTGGCACCTATATGGATTTGGATGCCAGGCCACAACACCAGCTTCAGTAGTGTTTTATTTAAAGATTTATTTGTTTATTTGAAAGATGAAAAGAGATAGATCGTTCATCCTCTGGTTCACACCCCCAAATGGGGGTTAGGGCTGGGGCCGGACCATGCCATAACCAGGAGGCTAGAACTCCCATTGGATCTCACCTTTGGGTGTCAGGGGCCCAAGCCTTGAAACAGCCCCTGCTGCTTTCCCAAGTGCTTTAGTAGGGAGCTTGTTCAGAAGCAGGGAAGCTGGGACTTGAGGGAAGCCACCATTGCAAGTGGCAGTTTGGCTGCAATTCTAGCCCTGAAAGCAGTGGCTCACTCTGCAGCATGGTTAAGTACCATCACAGAGGTACATTACTAAGAATGGGAATGGCACAAATTCTTACACTGATGGTGGACAATCATGCTGATGCCCTGCCCATTTGTATAAATGCACTCACACACTGACAGCTCAAAAACTGAGTGTGCTATTCT